ATTCCCCCCAGTGATGCGTCCTGACACTGCGGTGACATCAGCATACTTCAGGCAATGTTACTTAGTATACTTAGTATTTCTAATATCATAGAACATAATATCATAATACAGTGTTTTCCCTACCCTTACCAACGCTCACGCACCCTCCGGTACGTCCGCCCCCCCATAGTTGTGAACCTGGGGGAAACACTGATATGGCATAATATATATATATAAATATATATATATACACAATTATACATTTTGAAGAATTTACATTTGCCTGAGCACCTCTCTTTCCCATTTAAAAATGGCTGATATTTATTGTATATGTTAGAAAAACAACAGGTCGGGTTGGGCCCAAAACAGCCTCTTCCATAATAGATGTTTTCCAGAAAATTCTAAGGGAAACATAAACCACCGATCATTTTTCTAATATATTAATAATAGTTGTTTTTAAATAGGGAAAAGGTGCTCAGGCAAATGTAAATTATTCAATTTATATGTGTGCATGTGTATTTATATATATATATATAATGATAAGAGTCCAAACAAGCTTGAGAAGGATGCCAGTGGCATTGATGGACAGACAGGAAGTGACCTCACCATAGCAACCTTTGGAAACGAAAGAACAAATTCTTGTTTTAACTTAAGTCACAAACCGAGGGAATGTTAGAGCTCGGTAGTTTTGTGTAGTTTGTCAACGGGTCTGTTACTCAAAACGGAATTTGTCTTTTGAAATGGTTACATTGTGAGTTTACATTTTTATTTATTTTTTAATCCAAATGTATGTTTCTTTGGAATTTAGATTGAACAAAAAAGAAAATTGGACCTAAATTGGATCTAAAATTGTCAAAAAACTACTCCATCGGGATGCATAAATATCTCTGCAATTATTGATTTACTTGTTCTTCGATTTACGCCTTCAATGATTTTCTTCAGTAGGCAATTTGACTGAGCTCAAATTCCCCTGCAGCAGTCAAACTAAGGTGAATATGTAACTCCGCGTAGGTTTATTTACCTTTCAATTGAAGCAAGTCAAGGATGTGGGTTTACAGATGGAGATACGAGAGAACGTCACGCAAATATACCTCTTTGTCTGAAATTCTTTTCTGGACTTTTGCCTGCGTGCGTGGGTGTGTTTTTGAGCTAAACTAAGCTAAATAGGTCAGAATTAGAGAAAGCTAGAGGAGGTATTATGTTAAAGCAGGGTTATTCTTTATCGGCCCATTCATCTCTGAGAATGTGATGAGGGGGCCGGGCAAAAGACTAAAAGTGCAAAGTACTCTTCAAAAGGGGAAGTTGAAAGATGATTAAAAAAAAAAAATATATATATATATATATATATATATATATATATAGCTGTTGATAACACCCAAGAAAACAGATGAATTGATCCTATAAGGATATTTTCTCTGCCCTTTGGGACTTTAACTGAAGGGTGGGCCGAGTTCCAGGTTACAGATGCGGGAGGAGATTCCCTTGGAGCAGCCGGCAGGGGTTCAGGTACGTAGCGGGCAGGTTGCGTGAGAGTCTGTGGTGTCCCGTAGAGACGAGACCAGACACTGAGTGCGTGAAGAGGAGTCGAATATAAAGGGAGGTGAACTGCTGAGGTGCAGGTGATGGTGATTAGAACTCAGGGGACTGTGAACGAGTGGGAGGAGTGAGTGAAGCTGGTGGGATCCTGACAGCCGGGCTGCGGCGGCCGAGCGGCCGGTTCCGTGGGCCAAAATCTACGGATCAGATTGAAGAACTTTTGTCAGAAGAAATGCGTAAATATGACCGCTTATACAAGCCGTCATTGGCGGGTTGCAGAAGCGGGTTGAATTCACGGAGGGAGATCGCCGCAAACGCCCGTTTGCAGGTCGAGAGGTGCACAAAGTTGTGGAGGAAAATACGGAACAAATGTGTCCGCGATGAAAAGCAGCAGTGGCGATGCACGGGGCAATAAAGTCTATGATAAATAAATAAACAAACCAACGACTTCCACACACAAAGACGCGACTCTCTAGGTCGTCTTCAACAGAAACACGTCACTCCCCCTGTTGTTCTGGAGGCGAATTGCTCTGCAACGCACGCAAGACTTTTAGAACCAGTCGCAGCGATGCAGAAGCATGCGCCAGCCTTAAACATGAATGGAGCCAGAGATGCCAAGAAGAGAGCAGCTGTTTAAAACATCTTGACGTTCTCTTCTTGCAAGAGACGCACAGCGACAGCACCAACGGGGCCGACTGGAGGAGGGAACTCCTGCTGAGCCACAACACCAACCTCAGTGGAGGAGTGCGCTTCCTCTTCTCCGGGTCTTTTAAGCCAGTCTCCCTGGAGGTCAAACACATCATGAGGGGAGGTTGTTTCCAGTAAAGGCGCGGTTCGACCTTTTTATCAATGTGTATGCTCCAGCAATCGGTGCAGAGAGGAAGCTGTTTTTACAAAAAAGTTAATGAGCTTTTAGATGTCTGTGCCTCGGAGGATTTTTTATTCTTAGGGGGGGATGTTAACTGTACAGAAGATGCGACTACAGACCGCAACCACGCAGAGCCACATCCAGCTTCCCAGCAGGCTCTGAGGCGGCTGGTCCAGTCTCATGGCCTGCTGGATGTGTGGAGAAGGATGCATGCAGACTGCCGGCAGTACACGTGGTCCCACCTCAGAGAAGGTAGAATCTCCTCAGCCAGGCTTGATCGGTTTTATGTGTTTAAGCACCATTTTAATATTTGTAAAATATGTACCATTGCACCGGCGGTTTTCACACATCATTCCCTGCTGGTGTGTAATGTTTTTATTGGGAACATTTTGCCAAAAAAGCGCGTACTGACATTTTAACTTATAGGTCCTAAAAAAAAGAAGACACGACCCGAGGGGAAACCTCTGGCGGATGACGTGGGACAGATGTTTCTGCACTCACCGTGTGCACTGCTGTTGCAGCCATACACACTTCAACAACAACAACCGGCTGAACAAACAGCGATCGCTAAGCATCAGTCAGAGGTGTGAGCGCAGTGACGTTACCTTCCCTCAGCTTGCGCACCGCCGCTTTGTGGCCGGCTCCCCCTGCGTGGCTGGTCAGGGCAGCCTCGCCCATCGTCTGAAGTTTGATGGATTTAGAACAGGCCTTACATCGGGCGAAGTGAATGTCCTGCACAGTAAAATCGCCAGTGTTAATACAACACTTAAAGAGTCAATTTTAACACTACCTCAGTGACATATGGTCCCTATCTACAGAGTGTTAAATGTACACTGAACACAGAGTTAAATTTCCAGAGTCAATTTTACTCTGGTAAGAGTTAAAATTGTACACTAGGTGCAGTGTAGTGTAATAATATTAACTCTAAGAAGTGTCAAGTTTTACACATGTCCGCATGTCCGCGACATGTCCCGCTATGCTCGACCAAATTGTGACGTGACGCTAAAGCGATTTGCTCCGGCTCAAATAGAAATAATAAATATGACTGCTTCAACGAATTTTTGTCGTCATTTTACTGAAATAAATGTGCAAGCATGACACATAACACACCACGACAGCTCGTCCTCGCTGACATTAACGTTACCTCGTGTCGTTTTTGTTCAGTTTGGTGTTGCGAGGTCAGACATGTGGCTGCTACATTTAAGCTAACCACCCACCCGATAATCACGTTAGCCATTTGAAATTCGGTATTTGAAGACACGTACCCAACATTGACTAGTGTGGTGAATGAATACGTCCCTTTATTCTTATACAGATTCTACTGGAATGAAGAAAAACAACGGGAATAGTTTATAGTAGAAAGACTTACCACAGTATTTCGATGCGAGGAAGATGGCGATGCCAGAATCCACATTCTCAGTTTGACCGGGAAAGTTGGTGGGCGGGGCTTTCCAGAGTATTTTTTTGTGATACTCTGGAAGGTATCTTGCTCTAATCAGTGTTGAATCAGGGCCTTAGAGAGTCAATAACACTGACAGAGTAAAACCTCTGTTAACTCCGATTATTTTCACCAACACTGGAAGTTTTCTGGTTCAATTTTACTCTGTCCATTGTTGGAAGAACTCCGGAAGAATTAAAATAGTTTGACACTGCCTTTTTGACACTGGCAAATTATCGCCAGTGTTAATACAACACTTAAAGAGTCAATTTTAACACTACCTCAGTGAACATATGGTCCCTATCTACAGAGTGTTAAATGTACACTGAACACAGAGTTAAATTTCCAGAGTCAATTTTACTCTGGTAAGAGTTAAAATTTTACACTAGGTGCAGTGTAGTGTAATAATATTAACTCTAAGAAGTGTCAATCAAGTTTTACACTATGTAAGAAGTAACACCCATAGTGTTATTCACATGTAACACTAAAGAGTTATAAAAGAAATAACCTTTCCAGTGTTAAACCTACTTTACACTATGTTGATTATGAAATCACTCCAAAGAGTGTTGATTTTTAACCAACTCCTACCAGTGTTGCATATCTATGCAGGGGGAAAAACACACAGACAATTGTATCCATACTGTAATACATATTTATTCCAAGTAAACATGAAATATTGGCATCAAAAGTAAACCTAAAACATGTAAAGCTCACATCTTATCACAGTGGCAAAGATCTTGGTTGGTGCTGGATGACAGGAATGTTTTGATCAACATGATGGTATCTGCAAAGACAGCAAACTGAAATCAACATTATGATCTAAAACACCATACAAGCTGACAACCTGAAAATACCCTATTTCAGCTTTAAAAATCACAAACACAACTACATTTTCGGTCAAGTACATCAACTTATTACTTACCACCAGAGCACCACAGTACATTAAAGAACAATCTGAAAGAAAAAAGGAAAATATACATATTAAGTAACTACGTAACTACGTAGACCCCTCCGCCGTAGCCTGACGTGCAGCTCCGAAAGAATCTAACTGCGAGTCGAGTTGACGTGGATCGCAAGTGCTGTGATTGGTCCGCTCAGAACGTAATTTGCGGCAGTTGCTTTGAAAGTATCGAAAGTGCACTTGCTCGTCCAGGTCCCTCAGTGGGTGAACCAGTGTTGTAAATTCACGTCTTCTCCGTAGCCTGCGCTTCAATATGAGCTTCGGCTCCCCAAGGATTCGGCACCCGCAGAAACACACAGCCACACCCGCCGCCGCCGTAACGTGGAAGCATAAATTAAGCTTACAGCAGCTACAGCCAAAGACATAAAGAATAGACATCGACCGCTGCTGCCTAGTGGTGCTGACGAGCCGCGGGGCCGCCGACTTGGACCGGTCACCCGCTCCACTCAGTGCCAGCTGGCGCAACGAAGTGTCAGCGCATCACTCGCTGAATACAAAAGCGGATGTTCACGGCATTTTGTAGGCATGACACCGAAAACATGATTCGGCGTATTTTAATATTCATAGTAGGCGTAACAGTAATAATATTCTGGTATATAATATAATAATAAATATTTGTTTGCGCCTCAGCAGCCAGTGCAGCGTCTACTCTTTATATGTCTATGGCTACAGCAGCAGCTAACGGGAACCGAGCCTCTCGGAGCCGCGGCTCCGTTCACGTTAACTGGGTCGACTCGGTGCATTCCGCCGTCTGCCGGTGAACTAGTGGGTCCTATGAGCACGTCCGCATGTCCGCGACATGTCCCGCTATGCTCGACCAAATTGTGACGCTAAAGCGATTTGCTCCGGCTCAAATAGAAATAATAAATATGACTGCTTCAACAAATTTTTGTCGTCATTTTACTGAAATAAATGTGCAAGCATGACACATAACACACCAGGACAGCTCGTCCTCGCTGACATTAACGTTACCTCGTGTCGTTTTTGTTCAGTTTGGTGTTGCGTGGTCAGACATGTGGCTGCTACATTTAAGCTAACCGCCGACCCGATAATCACGTTAGCCATTTGAAATTCGGTATTTGAAGACACAAACCCAACATTGACTAGTGTGGTGAATGAATATGTCCCTTTATTCTTATACAGATTCTACTCGAATGAAGAAAAAACAACGGGAATAGTTTATAGTAGAAAGACTTACCACAGTATTTCGATGCGAGGAAGATGGCGATGCCAGAATCCACATTCTCAGTTTGACCGGGAAAGTTGGTGTGCGGGGCTCTCCAGAGTATTTTTTGTGATACTCTGGAAGGCATCTTGCTCTAATCAGTGTTGAATCAGGGCCTGAGAGAGTCAATAACACTGACAGAGTAAAACCGCTGTTAACTCCGATTATTTTTCTGGTTCAATTTTACTCTGTCCATTGTTGGAAGAACTCCGGAAGAATTAAAATAGTTTGACACTGCCTTTTTGACACTGGCAAATATACTGTGAACGGTGGCAGGTGGAGGCAATCGGCCTCAGCTGAGCTGAATGGGTTTTGATGGCGTTGGTCTGGTTTTAAAATGCAGTAAGGGCGATCAGGAGGAGAGAGCCGCAGAGCGAACGAGACGCCAGGAGCTCTCGCTGCGTTGACAACTGAAGCAACGAAATAAAAGGATTGTCTACCAAACCTGCTGTGTCCTGCCTGTACCCCAAAGAACATACACCGTGACATCTGCATTTCTGCAGACGTGGTCTCAGGGAACTGCAGCAATGTGACATTAAACACAGGTTCATTCATCTAAGCCGGAGACCGATGAGGACAGATCAACAAAGAGGATATAAACAAGTAAATACATTCTCTTCTTGTGAGGCGAGAGCCTAATCAGGCAGGAAAGAATATACAATAAACCCTGACAATTCTACATGCGATGTTGTCGAGGTAACACAGCAAAGTGCTCTCTCTTTGCGGCCTGAGGGGGGCGCTGGTCTTGGGCCGATGCCTCACCTGGCGTGCAACGTGACCCGGAGCCGGAGATGCTGCCGCGCTGGAAGCAGGCGGCCGCCCTGCAGCCGTTCTTCAGAGGTCACTCTGCAAAGGGGACGAAGCTGTTTGGGGAGAAAGTCACCGCCGCCATCCGCACTGCGATCCAACAGAGCTTCTCTGACTGTTTCAGTCAAATGAGTCACAGCCATTTGGATCCACCAGGAAAGACTGCTTTCCCTTAATGAATATCATCTCCTAGGTCTTTTTTCAATTAGCGTGAAAAAACAATAAACATGACGAATCGTCAAAATGTGTCTTAGTGGACAAAGAGGAGGTGGCCTTGTTAAATATCAGCGTGGACGTGCACAGTCCTCTTTGTTCAGTGTGTAATGATCCGAGTGTTGCCTCTTGTGCCCTCAGGTCCTGTTTGCTGCCTTACTGGTTCACTCTGTTCCACCTGGCTCACACCTCCGTCTGCCTCCCTCTGCTGCCCAGTGGAAGTACTGCAGGCTGTTTGTCCACTGCAGGTCAACAGGAAGTGGTTCCTGCACAGCCGAACAGCAGCAGCTCCCCCTCTCTATCACGGTGGCCCTGAACTCTGAGGTGAGCATCAAAGGGTTTCAGGTAGGCAAATTAAATACAGGTGACTTTCTGACCAATAGTGATACAGAACAATGTCATTCAATGTCTTGTATTAAAGTCTTTGTTAATGGCTGACATTTTAGAGACGTTGTTGAACGTGCTGCTTATGAGATGTGTGTATATACATATTTTACTGTGCGCCGTGTTTGTACCCCGTCTCCATGGTGACGGAATGCTCGCCCCACATGAGTGCGTATTATTCCAACATTCATTTGCATACGGAATCAGAATATTTGCAAACGGAATCAGATGTTTCTGTTCATTGTCTTACTGAGTTCAGAGGGAGCAGTTCAGATATTTTCTCCAGAGAATTTATCAGCGACATCTGTCCGTTACAGAGTTAAGTAGCCTTTTGAAAGATTCAACACCCTTTTTCACAGACCACATTCAGTCAGTCATTTACCATCAAACAAAACCTTTTTCAAGGATTTGAGCCTTTTACAGGCTTTCCACCGGTCTTTTTAAAGACTACACTGAGTCGTTTACCGTCTAGCAAACGCCTTTTTACAGGCTTTCCACAAGTCTTTTTATTGATATTCACCATGTACCACGGAAACAACCGGAGACCCGGAGCTGGCGCTTCACTGCTCTGGACTCCTCCGACAGGATACAACGTGAATATGGCACTTTCTCGTGCCCCCAATGAAGTGCACTACCTGAAAAGGCCAGTGAACGAGCTGCATGCCTTCATTGACACTGAGGCCAATATGTGCCGCCGGTTACAAGATCAAGAGCCGGCCTACGATCGCATGGTTTGTGAGCACACAACAATGCTTTCAGACCACAAGATTCACACCACTAGCTGTGTCCTGAGAAGGGAGGGCGGTCGACTCGATCTCATAGACGGTTCACATCTTGTTTGGTATTCATATCCGCGTTTCTTCTTTTTTGGTCTATTAATTATAATTTGCACCTGCCACTGAGGATGGCCTTCACATGTGTGTATAAAAACTTTTACTGCTCGGAACAAATTCCATCCAGGATTTTAAAAAGGGTCTCCGAAAGACTTTCGACCAAGTCTCAACGGAGTGAGAAAGGGAAAGAGAGCTGAGTGGGCTGAAACAAGGACGACCATCTGTTTGTTTACGCCATTCGCTTCCAGTGTGTACTACTTGTTGTACCATTACAGGATGACCGTCTAACAAGTTTCCCTATTTCATGTACTGCTGCTATCAATGTTCCTTTGATCAGACGTTTGCTTCCATCATCCAGATACTGTATCAAGTGTATCGTGCACTTTACACTCAATAGCAGCACTCAACAATTTACAGCCCATCTCTGAGTTTAGGAGGAGACTAAAAAACTACAACCATTAATACAAAAAACTGAATCTATGAACAACAATTCTCATCACCTTCATTCCTCATTTAAATCATTCACAACCGTGTCTCATTGTTACTGACAGTTTCCCTCTATTAGTAAATCAATGTTTCGTACTGGTTGTAAATCTATTTTCTGACACTCTCAATAGTCTGTACTCTCTATTCTCCCTTCTTCTACCTGGAATGTGAGTCGTAAACTGGGGAGACTAAAGCTGCTTATCTGGGCTGTTGGGAAGCAGTGGGCGTCGGTGTGTCACCAGTTAGTAGTTATGGGGGTTGTATGAGGGGGGGTGGACCCGTCCTCTGGTTCTGCCGGGCTGCGTTGTATAGAACAGCCGTGGTGGAGCGTTTGGTCGCATGTCCCTTTC